TGTGTACCCTCCCCAGATTTTCTTTTTTTTTTTTTTTTTTTTGGAGAGGTTTTTCACTACAGGGTGCATGCGCTCGCCAGACAGACAGAGAGACAGAAAGCGAGAAATCACCCCCCAGGGGGGATGGCCACGCCGCAATCCCTTCTCCTCCATTCTCCTCTCAGGATCTTGGGCACGTACGCACACGCGCCCGGCGTGTGTTTTAAGCCACTGGGTCCGGGACTCGAACCGCAGTCGACTACGTGGGAGTCCAGCGACATAGCCATTACGCTAACTGCTGGTTCCCACTGGTGTCTTTAAAGAAGACTCGGCACAGGACAGAGTAATAACCTTGAATGTGAAAACATTATTGAAAAGCAGTGCAACAGGAACTAACCAAGTCAGCGGGAGCCAGCTTCAGAGCGTACCTTTACCCTGCCACCTGCACTCTCTGGATGAAATCATTTACTGCTGGTTCTTACTTCATGATAACTCAAGTATCTGTCCCGTTTCCCCTTCCCCTAAGCCAACACCCTAATCTTTAATATTGTTGTGTAACTTGGCTTTGTGTCTTTGATTTCTATTTCCATCCATCCTGTAAATCTCTGAAAATGAATCACGCTAAAGAAACTTTCAGGGCTTCTGCAATAGCTCCTCGAGAGTGTGACCTCAGGAGTATTCATTCTGTCCCGGACCCCCCCAGCACATCCACTCTACCCACAACCACAGATGGCTCCTAGAGAAAAGTCTCCAGTGGCTTTTTCCTATTGTCTGTCTGATATTAAAATTCTAATGCCTGGGACCAGCAGTTGACATAATGGCTATGTCGCTGGACTCCCATGTAGTCGACTACGGTTCGAGTCCCAGACCCGGTGGCTTTAACTCACACACCGGGTGCGTGTGTGTGCATGCCCAAGATCCCGAGAGGAGAATGGAGAAGAGGAGATTGCAGTGTGGCCATTCCCCCAGGGAGTGATTTCTCGCTTTCTGTCTTTCTGTCTCTTTGTCTTTCTGGCGAGCACATGTACTCTATAGCAAAATCCTCTCCAAAAAAAAAAAAAAAAAAATCTAATGCCTGAGCTCAATATTTAAAATTTTCAGGGGCCTGATTGATTCCTCTCAATTCCATATATGCAAGCAATTGCTAATAAAACTCCTTGACTAGCTACTAAAGACTAAGTGCTACCTCTCCACCGCTGTCCAGCCCCAATATATTCATTTCTTTTAAAAATAATTAATTATATTTTAATTTGACCAGAGAAAGACACAGAGATAGGAAAAGTGAGAAAGCAGGTCACTGGGTCTGGCACTCAAACTGCCGTCTGCCATGTAGGAGTCCAGAGCCTTAACCACCACACGACCCGCCAGCCCCCAATACATTCCTTTTTAAATGTCGCACTTGCAAAGTTCATGTTCAGATTCTAAATCTAACCAGGAGAATTTTCATCTGAGTTGCCTCTGAGTTGAAAATGCATTTTCATTGAATTTCTACAATGTATTGCCCTTTGTGTACACAGCAACGGCCTGTAAGTGGCATTTACACCACTCTCCATTTTTCGCCTAGTTCCTGACTTGATTAGCATCTTGCTCTGAATTCATTTCCAGCAATCTGCTAGCCCTTCTCATTTTTATATCAATCGAATGTTTCATAAAAATGAAGTTGAATTCTATATTTTCAAAATCTTCAAATTTGTCATGGAAATGAAACTGGCCAACTGGCCAAATAACAGCCCAGAAAGATAAATATATGTTCATATTTTGACTCTTTAAAAAAAAAATACTCACAAGATGCAATTTTTGCTCTGTTTCTCGGCCTCCCTTGTTATAGTAACATTTCCCAGGACTGTTATGAAGTCTGGCTGGTTCACCGGCCGGCCGAGGCCACATGTAAGAACGAATGTGAAGTTGGTGCCCATTTAGCGAGTATGAGTAAAGTTGTAGGGTTTCTTTCTGGCAATACCAATTTATTTATTTTGAAACCATAATTTTACATGTCTTCTAAAAATTTCACAGTATTTGCTGAAAATCATACTCAGAAATACTATTGCATGATGCTGGCTCAAACTAAATGTGGTCAGCCTAAAAGTACACGACATTTTTAACCACAACATTAAATGATGCAACGAAATCTACGTGCTTTGAAACCAGTTGGCAATTCAGTAAAAAGGGACACATAATTAAAATGATCATCCCTGGGAAAACAGATTGGAAAAGAATTTTGCTTTAAAAAAAATCTTTACAATTTTTATGTTTTATCTCTATCGATTATTTACAGAGGTGATGGGAACTCAAATTTGGAGAAAATATATGAATGTAACAGCTTCTGAAAAATACATCAAGAGTCTCCTGGCTTTGGCAAAGCAGGACAGTCTATCCTTTTATAACTGGTATAAGCAATGTGGTTAGAAAGATTAAAAACGAGCAGAAAAACTATGTATTTATACAGTAAATATCAAATGTGAGCCTGCATATGCCAGGCATCGCGACACAGCGAGAGGCACAAAATATCCAGGTGTTCAACTTAGCAATGCCCAGATTGGTCATTTAATTATACTAGCACTCACCAGATACCGCCATTGTAAAGATGTCAGCTTTCCCTTTTCATTG